ACGTGGTAAGGTCCCGTCAGTCCGACCTTTGCATGGGTGTAAAAACAAACTGGTCGGGTTGCAGGGGTGTATCTTTAAGGTCCACTGGTTCTAGACAATTGGCAGTCAATGTTTTTACAACTGTAGGGTTAATGTTAATATGTTCACCGCTAAATAAGTGGACAAGATTCACGCTGTAAAATATCATTTTTAATTAAACATTCAATGTGACGGTAATTACTATTGTCTACATAATATATAATACAAATTCATATAACATAATATATACATAAAAAAGTTTATAGCACCAAAATACGCAACTTTAAATAACACAACATACAATAGCACTACAAATGACCATTTCCTTATGAATTAAATTAAATAGCACAAATCATATATGGTGAAAGCAAAATATACAGGCAACACAGATATACGGTCCAGAACCAAGAAGCACGAGCTCAACAACTTAACACAATAATAGGAGACATTTTCCAGGTACTCCGTCAATGTCAGGTCGTTATTTGCACACCTGAACTTCGAGATATCTAGTCGTTCCTCTAAATCTCTGTACTTCTTCTTTTCTTTTCTTTTTCTTTTTCTTTATTTTTTTATTTAAAAAAATATATATATTTTTTTATTTATTTTTTGTATTTATTTATTTTTTTATTTATTTTTTTTTGGGGAGGCAGTCTTTGGCCAGCATTGTACTGAAGCATCTTTGTCTCGTTCAGTACTTTTCATCTGCCAAGAACTTGGGCAACTCGAGAAAAGGTTGGGATGTTATCCCCACAACCTTCGTGAGACGGCAATGCCAACCCCCGAGGTTGTTGTTTGTGCGGGGACCGTCAGTATTTTTGATAATTGGGCTATGGCAAAAAATGTTCAGGTGTAATATAAATGGAAAATTTCTACATGTTACTCATACAGAACATGTATAATAATATCAAATCATGTGTTAACATTAGTAAATCCTACTCGGACTAATTCTTCAGTCACTCTGGAGTAAGACAAGGAGAAAACTTGTCACCGCTACTGTTTTCAATTTTTATAAACGATTTAGAAGAATTGCTACTATCTCATGGTTCCGAGAGTATAACCATCAACTTTTAATTTAGATAATTATATAGACCAATGTATTAAGTTTCTGTTATTGCATGAATTGATGAAATGGTACAGTCGAAAAGATTCACCTTGACTTCGTTGTGTACAGGTCTGTGGTTGTGGTCTCCAGGTATTTGGGAAATTATGTCGTTCACTGTTGAGACTGATATGCAGTCTTTCTGAATGCATCTCCACGATGCATATAAATATAACCATTTATTTATATCTTCCACCACGAGAACTAGGATATAACCAATTGTGCATTTGCCATAACTGAAGTTGTGGAAATGATGATGAAAACTGTCAGTTCCAACATTCTTATAGCATGCAAGTTTATGTAAGAAATTGAATAACTTACTACTAATGAATTGAGAGAACTAAACTCACTCACTTAAGCCGCTGGTTCACATGTCATCCAGCTGGTACAAATGTCATATTTCGCTGCCTTAGTGGACACATTTCACATTTTGTAGAAAACCAGTGTCTTAATCCGTTTTCAAAACATTCAACATCAAAGGAATTTTACCTCGACCTAAAGGTCGAACTTACGGGACTACCCCGTTGACGTGGCTGGCTGTGCTGTCAAGCCCGAAGTCGTTCATTCAATGTAATGTCCGTATACGTAGAAACATATAACGTCATGGACGAAGACCCGGGTTCGATTCCCGACATGGGTACAATGTGTGAAGCCCATTTCTGGTGTCCTTCGCCGTGATATTGCTGAAGGGAAATTAAGTGCACTCTTCCCCTTCGAGAAGCACTAGTGTAAACAAAATATTATTATGCACCTTTTACATTACACTTGTTTACACAACAAAATAAAATGTGCGTCGAATCCTTTATTAATGGTCAAAGTATGGACATAAAATAAATTACATGTTAAATATTGGCTAGGTACAGAACAGTCACTGATGGCATAAATAATAACAAGTGGTAAAATAAATAAAGTATATACACAATTAAGTGCCTTAGCTGAGATAGAGCACTTCGAGCTGCAGTGATTAGTTGACGATATCAACAACAAGGACAATTTATAAATACATAATTATCTACAATACAATAAGTTCCAGAGTTGTCAATACAAAACGTTGTCATGTTCAATGCATGGCCCTCTTGAGCTTAGCACGTGCATTTTGGAACCACACTTGGGCCACTCGTCTGGGAAGACCCGCTTCTTCGGCGATCATCCCGAGGTCACTTCCGGCTGGGTTAGTGTCAAGGTCGAAGTACTTCTGTAAAACTGCTACCTGGTCCTCGTTGAAGACTGTTCGGAATCTCTTGGATTTTGATCTGCAGTTAACGTTCTCGTCGTCGGGGTTGAGGGCGTGGACTCTGCAAAGTACTCGTCCGTCGTGTATGGCGAAGTCTTCTCCTGTGGACAATTGTCTTTGGCACGTGCTGCACGAAAAACATGCAAGGTGGTACATGTTCTCACCAGCCGATCTCACCCAATCTCCAGACTCGATGGGTCGTAAACAGGAACTACATTTGGTCTTATAAACCTGGGCGAAGTCTCTCTGACAGAATATGTTTCCGTCTCTGACGAAGCAAGTAGAATGTCCACCGAGCGTCACCTGACACACACAGCAACGCAGACAGTGCTCGTGCCACACGTGATCCCCAGCACGTAGATAGTACTGGTCGGTGATGACGTCACAGCACGTGAAACACAAGGGGTCAGCCACGTTGAAACTGAGAGCGATGAAGTCTGCCGATTCTTCCAAGTCGGAGGATAGATAGTCATATGACATATCCGACATTTTGGAATAGCTCAGAAGGATCTGGAGGAGGACTTGTTGTGGAGATCTGATGACAGATGGAATGATGACTCCAGCACACATCAAGTCTATTTAAATGTTGGCTTGGCATCTTAGAGTGAACTGGAGTGCCATGATGACGCGAGATCAGTGTTTGGACAAGCAATGACATCAGAGTGATCAGCCGCGACGAGTCCACTCAGTAATCATTGATACTGAACATTGCACTGTTTCCTTGTCATCGATGAGCTCGCTCATCATGCAGGTTGATGATGCTTGACATAACACACAGTTCACAAATACGTTATGTTATTAAAACAAATCTCATAAATCAAAAGAAAAACTAACAACAGTTCATATTTCATATAATGGATGCAAAATATTTGCCATTTGCAAACTTACGAGTCAAGCATTTATATTGTGATAAAACTATCATAAGAAGGAAACAATAGATTTCTTTGTGTGGCCTACGCTTTGTCAATACAGAACAATTGTATTAATGCACACACGGGTTAATCGCGCGACAAATTCGCGTTATACATCTCATCCAAGCAGTAAAAAAAGCAAATTGTTGGATGAAATGGGATAAAACAATTGTTGAAATACGGTGTAATTAAATATTTAACGTTCATATATCTCTATACAGAATTATTGAGCTTTATGTGTCTCGGTCTGTGGTGATATTTCCAAATTCATAGCTAATCTTATTTTTATTGTTGTTCACGACTTCCATGATGATATTTAAAAGCGCCATGAGGTGATCACAGGTCAAACACCCCGTGGTTCACTCTGAAATATTGATGGTGAGAAACAAATCTCAGATATTATGTTGTTTAGTAACACTCATGTGCATATCCAGAGTAACGCGTCTTCATGGTGAGACTGTCTGACTGAGTTTTGGTTTTACGCCACTATTAGCAATATTCCAGCAACATCATGCGGGGACACCAGAAATGGTCTTCACACATTGTACCCATGTGGGGATTCGAACCGGGTCTTCGGCGTGACGAGCCAACGCTTTAACCACTAGGCTACCCCACCGCCCCTTCATGGTGAGACCCTTTGGCAAATAGGAGAATGTACCGGCTAATCTTTGGTTCCGATTAAATGTGAAGATGTTTCAAACAATGAAGTACATACGTTGCTGTAATGTCCATTATAAATGGACTCGGAGAAAGTCTGGTGAATTGTGTTATTCATTGTTTCAAATCGTCGAGTTTTCACTTGTTGAATAATGTTGAATAAATGTTATCAACCCCGGGTTTGGTCTTAATGTTGTCTGGGTACAATGTGTGAAGACCATTCCTTGTGTCTCCCGCCGTTTTACGCTGGAATATTGCTAAAAGCGGCGTAAAACTAAACTCACTCACTCACTCTTAATGTTGTCGGAAGATGTTTAGGTATGTTAGAAAACATGCGCAATCATTCATGGAAACGCATGTACATATGTACCATGCATTTCAAAATGTAATTTTTTCTCTTAAATCGTTAACCGATTGGTCTTAGATGTATAGCAAAGATGTTATTCATTGTATGCAATATTAAGAGTGGGAGTTTAAAAACGTGTGTGTGGTTGTTTCGGTGAATTAACAGTAGATGTAGGGCTCGGGGTGCTGTATTGATTGGTCAATCAATTGGACAGTAACTGTATACACGACGCGTAAATACAACTCATGTTCCTATCAGTCAATGATTGACTGTTGACGGAGTCAATCAGAGCGCCCGGAGATTTGCGTGACGGTGCATGTCAAGCTGGCTAACAAGGGCGTCACGCCCGAAGTGGTTCACTCATACTTGTAACAGCAACACGACGCGTAACTACATCCCATGCCCCTATCAGTCAATGATTGAATGTTAAGCGTGTCAATCAAAGCAACGCGAGATTATACGTGATGGTGCGTGTCAACCTGACTAACAAATGCGTCGTTCACTCATAGCTGAAACAATATGCACAAGGTGTAAATATATCTCATGCCTCAATCAGCCAATGATTGAATATCGATGGTGCCAATCATACCGACGCTGACAGTGCCGTCACTCCCGAAGTCGTTCACTCAGCGTGATGTCCGTAGAAGTATATAACGTCATGGACGCACCGTCAATCATCCGCATTCCCTTCTTCGACTGAGCTGCATCTACATCTGTAACGGCACTTGCTCCATCATGTCTCACTCGTCGTATATGTCCTCTTCAGCGTCGGATCTCGAGGATGAGATACAATCATATCTCACTAGTCTCAGCCCGGACCCTGACATGCCGATCTGTTTCACGTGCTGTGACGTCATCACCGACCAATACTATCTACGTGCTGGGAATCACGTGTGGCACGAGAACTGTCTGAGTTGCTGTGTGTGTCAGGTGACACTTGGTGGACATTCAACATGCTTCGTCAGGGACGAAAACATATTCTGTCAGAGAGTCTTCGCCAAAGTTTACCAGACAAAGTGTAGTTCCTGTTTACGACCCATCGAGTCTGGAGACTGGGTGAGATCGGCCGGTGAGAACATGTACCACCTTGCCTGTTTCTCGTGCAGCACGTGCCAAAGACAATTGTCCACAGGAGAAGACTTTGCCATCCACGACGGCCGCATTCTTTGTCGAGTCCACGTCCTCAACCCCGACGACGAGAACGTCACCTGCCGACCAATGTCCAAGAGATTCCGAACAGCCTTCACTGAGGACCAGGTCGCCACTCTACAACGCCACTTCGAGATCGACCCCAACCCAAATAGCCTTCACCTTGATCAGGTTGCCATGGACGCAGGACTGTCGAAGAAGGTGACAAAAGTCTGGTTTCAAAATGCTCGAGCGAAATTGAGGAAATCCAAACACTAATTTCTGACAACCAAGAGGAGACCCGAGGACAATATTTCAGTGACAATCAGTATGCAGTGTACATACTTCTAACAAAGCAGCGGTTCTGCTAGTATCGCTTGTTTATGGTGCTACCTGTCTCCTGTGCATACTCTATGAGACTGTGTGTAATTTTTTGTCATTACTGTCTGACAATGTATATCAATAAAATAGTGAAATGAACTTTTTATCGGTCATATCTTTCAAGTTATCTGCAACCCGTGAAGATACGGGTTAGAATTGATCTTCAGCAACCTATGCTTGTCGTAAGAGGCGACTAGTGGGATCGGGTGGTCAGGCTCGCTGACTTGGTTGACACATGTCATCGTATCCCAATTGCGTAGATCGATGCTCATGCTTTTGATCATTGGATTGTCTGGTCCAGATTCGATTATTTACAGACCGCCGCCATATAGCTGGAATATTGCTGGGTGCGGCGTAAAACTAAACTCACACACTCAAGTTATTTGCATATACCCACTTTTGTAAATCAGGTTACCTTCCTTACAGTTACCTCTTTAGGAAAAGTGATTCCCGACTATTGGGATCCAAACGAATGAAATTTTACAATACAGAATTTCGGCAAGTCTTTCATGAATGTATACAACTAAAAGTGAGTATTGGTTTCCATGGAAAGCGTTGCTTTAAATTTCTACTGCAGAGATTGGTGGATATTTTATCCACTACTTACCGGCAGGAACAACGGGTGGAAGAGTCGTCTAAGTGCCGCAGTTCGCTGTGTAGAGTAGCGCCCTTGGGTGAGCTAGGAGCCTCGGCTTGAAGCTTAGTTCACCTTATTATGTTCCTAGAATGGTCATCACCATACCAGCATTCGTGGGTTTCACCAAAGTAGTAAAAGCCCAAGATCGACATTCGGACTTTACTGGTATATTTAACTGACACGCTAACAGTATGCTGAAATACTAGAATGTTGTTCAAAGCAAAATAAACCCATCCTCACTCTACATATTGACAATAATGACATATGACTGCTGTCATAGTTATATATACAATCCTATAGAAGGAATCCACATCATGCAGTAGTTGGGTGATAATGATCGATGAAGTGATTCCAATCACACGAGGGTCCATATCAGTGTTCGTACCAGAGTCCATGCTAGAGATTATACCAGAGTCCATGCTAGGGTCCATACCAGAGATTATACCAGAGTCCATGCTAGGGTCCATACCAGAGATTATACCAGAGTCCATGCTAGGGTCCATACCAGAGATTATATATGAGTCCATACTAGGGTCCATACCAGAGTTATACAAGAGTTCATGCCAGGATCCATACCAGAGATTATTATACTCCAGAGTCCATGCTAGGATCCATACCAGAGATTATACCAGAGTCCATGCTAGGGTCCATACCAGAGATTATACCAGAGTCCATGCTAGGGTCCATACCAGAGGAGTCCATGCTAGGGTCCATACCAGAGATTATACCAGAGTCCATGAGGGTCCATACCAGAGATTATACCAGAGTCCATGCTAGGGTCCATACCAGAGATTATACCAGAGTCCATGCTAGGGGTCCATACCAGAGATTATACCAGAGTCCATGCTAGGGTCCATACCAGAGATTATACCAGAGTCCATGCTAGGGTCCATACCAGAGATTATACCAGAGTCCATGCTAGGGTCCATACCAGAGATTATACCAGAGTCCATGCTAGGGTCCATACCAGAGATTATACCAGAGTCCATGCTAGGGTCCATACCAGAGATTATATACCAGAGTCCATGCTAGGGTCCATACCAGAGATTATACCAGAGTCCATGCTAGGGTCCATACCAGAGATTATACCAGAGTCCATGCTAGGGTCCATACCAGAGATTATACCAGAGTCCATGCTAGGGTCCATACCAGAGATTATACCAGAGTCCATGCTAGGGTCCATACCAGAATTAATATATGAGTTCATACTAGAGTCCATGCTAGGGTCCATACCAGAGATTATACCATGAGTCCATACCAGAATTAATATATGAGTTCATATCCATACCAGGGGATCCATACCAGAGTCCATGCTAGGGTCCATACCAGAGTCCAGTTCACACTAAGGTCCATACTAGGGTCCATACCAGAGATTATACCAGAGTCCATGCTAGGGTCCATACCAGAGATTATACCAGAGTCCATGCTAGGGTCCATACCAGAGATTATACCAGAGTCCATGCTAGGGTCCATACCAGAGTCCATACCAGAGTCCATGCTAGGGTCCATACCAGAGATTATACCAGAGTCCATGCTAGGGTCCATACCAGAGATTATACCAGAGTCCATGCTAGGGTCCATACCAGAGAGATTATACCAGAGTCCATGCTAGGATCCATACCAGAGATTATACCAGAGTCCATGCTAGGGTCCATACCAGAGATTATACCAGAGTCCATGCTAGGGTCCATACCAGAGTCATACCAGGGTCCATACTAGGGTCCATACCAGAGATTAAGAGTTCATACAAGAGTTCTAGAGTCCATGCTAGGGTCAACTCTCCATACCAGAGATTCCATACCAGAGTCCATGCTAGGGTCCATACCAGAGTTATACCAGGGTCCATGCTAGGGTCCATACCAGAGATTATACCAGAGTCCATGCTAGGGTCCATACCAGAGATTATACCAGAGTCCATGCTAGGGTCCATACCAGAGATTATACCAGAGTCCATGCTAGGGTCCATACCAGAGATTATACCAGAGTCCATGCTAGGGTCCATACCAGAATTAATATATGAGTTCACACTAAGGTCCATACAAGAGTTCATACAAGAGTTCATGCCAGGGTTCATACCAGGGTCCATAACAGATCATACCCAACTCTCCAACTAAATCAAACATACAGAGTAAATGCAATTCATTTGAACCTCAGGCAATATTTAAATGTTTTGTGCTGTAGCAACTCTTTCACTTTACTTGCTTATTCTAAACATGTATCTTCAACTTCGTAACATTTTATAAAACAGTTACATGTTAGAGGTTTAAAATACGCAAATAGCAAAGATATTATCAGTATATTGAAAACTTTACATATTCAGGAGGTTTCTACAAAATCTTTAAACAGTAATAGTTCGTTACTCTCAACCGGGTGACTCACTTGTACTTCTGAAACGAGTCCGTGTCGCTCTCTCAAACACACGCCATCTGATCGGCAGATTCTGACATTACATTTCAAGTCGATCAACAGATAATGAGGATGTTTCAGATTTTACGAGTGTTTCCTGTTGCGAGGATTCCGCTCTTTTGGTGTCCCCTTCTAAATAATTATATATAAGCTATCCTAATGACAAATCTAACCCTCTTTGGGTCTCTACCTAACATGAGTTATTCTCCTGTCATTGTTCTTCCACAACAATAAACGTAAATGGTAATTTGTTTCATCTGAAACACACAGAAACTATTCCACTGATCTTGTGGAAGGAGCGCCAGGCAGGGGGTGGTGGGGTAGCCTAATGGTTAAAGCGTTGGCTCGTCACGCCGAAGACCCGGGTTCGAATCCCAACATGGGCACAATGTGTGAAGCCCATTTCTGGTGTCCCCCGCCGTGATGTTGCTGGAATATTGCTAAAAGCGGCGTAAAACCACACTCACTCAGTCAGGCAGGCAGGCAGGAGAGCGAGAGTTGGTAGTTTGATCCCCTGAGTCAGCTTACAAAATACGTTAAAATGTGGTACTTGTTATTACCCTGTCTGTCGATCAGCCTGAAGAGAGAAAAAACTCTTGTCGATGTAGCAGGATCCGGTCACTCACTGTGACCACATCATACAAGTGATTGGTTTACCCTCGGACCAAATCACTCTCCTCAGGACTTAACACTCCACTCAGGATTATAACACTCCCTTTGCAGGATGAAAGCACACGCCAGACAGAAGCACTACCCTAATACTACCTGCATGACGTATCGTAATGCGTTTTGTCGATATCTCCTCTACTTTCAGTTTTCAATGTTATTATTGTGTTATAATGTAAAGCCGTGTTTCGATTGTGTTACTGTTTGTGTTTACATTCCGAGGGCAGTGGTATCTATGGGGCAGACGCGTGCCTCTGTATTCTTACATTTCATCGCATCAGGAGATGATGGTAATTGCCCAATGCTGCATAGTTTAGATCACTGTTGCTGTCTAAGATGATCGTTATTGCCCCGGGTTGCATAGTTTAGATCACTGTTGCTGTCTGAGATGATCGTTATTGCCCCGGGTTGCATAGTTTAGATCACTGTTGCTGTCTGAGATGATCGTTATTGCCCAGGCTGGGATCACTGTTGCTGTCTGAGATGATCGTTATTGCATAGCTGCATTTTAGATCACTGTTGCTGTCTGAGATGATCGTTATTGCCCAGGGCTGCATAGTTTAGATCACTGTTGCTGTCTGAGATGATCGTTATTGCCCATGCTGCATAGTTTAGATCACTCCCCCAGGAGATGATCAGCCCAATGCTGCATAGTTTAGATCACTGTTGCTGTCTGAGATGATCGTTATTGCCCAGGACTGCATAGTTTAGATCACTGTTGCTGTCTGAGATGATCGTTATTGCCCAGGACTGCATAGCTTAGATCACTGTTGCTGTCTGAGATGATCGTTATTGCCCAGGACTGCATAGCTTAGGTCACTGTTGCTGTCTGAGATGATCGTTATTGTCCAGGACTGCATACCTTAGATCGCTGTTGCTGTCTGAGATGATGGTTATTGCCCAATGCTGCATACCTTAGATCACTGCTGCTGTCTGAGATGATGGTTATTACCCAATGCTGCATAGCTTAGATCACTGTTGCTGTCTGAGATGATCGTCATTGCCCAGGACTGCATACCTAAGGTCACTATTGCTTCCAGGAGAATATTATTATCAATGACTTGCGTTTACCACAGTTTGAGCATTTAGTACTGCTGTCTGAGATGATTGTTATTGCCCAGGACTGCATAGTTTAGATCACTGTTGCTGTCTGAGATGATCGTTATTGCCCAGGACTGCATAGCTTAAG